GCAGAGGGGAAGATCGCAGTTGCTCTTGAGGTAATTTTGTCATTTTACTTCACTTTAGATTCATTTTACTCGTACGTATTTAATGTCGATGGGAAGAGTTCATTGGGGTGAAGAAATCTTGATGGTTTGTTATAAACCAGTACAGAAGTGTGTGACACAAGTCCACTTTGTTATAGGTCAATCAAATTTTTTTGTAGATATGTTTGTCCATAAAGCTATTTCTTGCATCCTGGATCGCAAGACAGAATGACCTGTTTATCATGCTCGATCGTCCAGGGCGGCTATTGCCTGTCGAGCTTGGCCGAGGGAGCTGCCCTGACGCTGAGGGCCCTTCTCGGCGACCCGTGTCCTTTGGTGGGCCCTCTTGGAGCTATCAATCTCATGTGAGTTCCTCCACCACTAAGGTGCCTGACTTCTGTCTTCAGATTGGGGCAGTGTGAGCTACAAATGCAGTGATGGTAGTTTTATGGGATGTGCAGACACTTTATGAAAGTCTGACTTTGGTTCATTTGGAATTTCCCAGAGCAAATGATGGAAGTGATGCTATATATGTCACATGGTACTTCAATAAATAAGTTATTATTGTTAGTAGAATAGGTTTCATGAGATTCCAGAGCCAACAATACATNCTGTGGTTCATTTGGAATTTCCCAGAGCAAATGATGGAAGTGATGCTATATATGTCACATGGTACTTCAATAAATAAGTTATTATTGTTAGTAGAATAGGTTTCATGAGATTCCAGAGCCAACAATACATGGGAGTAATACAATTCTTGTTTGCTCACAAATTTTGAAAAAAATGTTGGTGATGAAAAGCTGCCTGAATTACACTTTTAGAAAGGTCTTTCTGAGAATGTGCTAAGCTATTATGGTAAGTCCTTTCAAGTAATGGGGGGCAGTTTACATGAAGTCACTGTATGCCCTTTGCATCTGGATGGAGGAATATTTGCTTAATACATATTTGTCCTAGGCATTCCAAAAGTGGGAATCTTCCACTCAGTTTTTGCAAAATGATTGTTTCTTCAGAGTTAGGTTTACAGTGCTTTTGAAGAAGGCAAGGCTTTACATATGCTGTGGAGTGCACTCTCTGAAAAATTAATGTTGATAGACACCATATATGGACATTTTTGAAAAAGTCAAATGGCAATTCAAAGTAGGAAGAAAATTGGTGGAGAGAATATTGCTGGCAGTATTCTATCGACAGAATGGAGAGCACGATCCTGGACTTGAAGTTCGTCCTGCGTCCGTTCTGGAAGGCTCTGTCGCACCATCCGCTCGCCAAGGACGGGGACGAAGGAGGAGGGG